GAATTCCGACAGATTGTTTGAAGATCTGGTCTCCAAAAACTACATAGATATAGTCAACCAGAAACTAAGTATATCTTTTTGATATCAACTTCAGAGTGCTTGTGTAATCAGAATGTTTTTTTAACAAAATAATTTTGTAAATGACCAATGACGAGGTAAGTAAGTTAACGAGTTCCATTTTTATTGAAAAAGCAGCTGTCAATGATTTTAAAAAAGCCTGGACTTTAATTTATCATTTTGAATTGTTGTATATAGAGTTGGAAAGTCGTATGTTTTTATGTTATTTTGGAAAAATTTTGTGATTTTTAATTTTCCAAAAGTTCCAACGAATTTTTAAGTATCTACTTCTGATTTACACCAATACTTGAATATATTGCTGCACAATACTCCTGAAGTTTCTCCTTCACTGCCATTAATATTTTATGAGAAGTAAAGAAAGAGGCTTAGAAGGACTTTGACTGGAACCCGCTAATCATTACATATTGTTAAATAAAATGACATTAAGAATAATCATGGTAAAAATAACCTGAAAAAAAAATAAACTTAAAGTCAGAATTAAAATAAGAAACAAAATTAAAATTTTTGAAAAAAATTTGGAAAAACACTGTTATCTCTCCATAATTTCTCATTATCAAAATTCGACAAACTTGAAGACTTTACTTTTGTAGACTTGTGAACAGCGCAGCTGTAAAACTGTTTGGTAGCTTGCAATACATTCAAGTAAAATATCCTAAATATTCAATAGAAATTATATCAAGCTCTATCCTATCCCGACTCTATGTCCGTAACAACCTTTCCCCATTCCCTCCCTATACCCACTGTCTCTCCCTCACAATCTTTCCCTCCCCATTTTCACCCACCCACTCTCTATCCCCCATCCCATCGCAACCCGACTCTCTCTCTCTCAACCCAATATCTCTTTCTCCCTCCATTCTCTCTCTCTATTTTCTCTCCACATTCTATCTCTCTCTCAATCCAACCTCTCTTTCTCCCTCCATTCTCTCTCTCTATTCTCTCTCCACATTCTGTCTCTCTCTCCCCACTCTCTCCCCCTTTTTATTTGTTTCTTGCCCTTCTGACTCAGTTACTCAATCTCTCTTCCTGTGAAATAAATTATATATAAGCATAATACATAGATGTTTTATAGTTATTTACAATAAAAATAATGGGAAAATACTTATTCTGTAACAAAGAGAAAATTCTTATCGTTATTTTAAAAGAAATTATAAAATGTTTATTCTTGATCTTTTTACTTTAAAATGGTTTTGACAGAATTGTTATTTATGCGAAAAATGAAAGTAATTTAAAATTTTAAGGGCGATAACTCCACACAATTATATACTGTACACAATTAGATCATTGCGTGGTTTGTTTGCGTATTTAATGAAGAAGAATTTTATCAGTTTGAAGAACAATACTTATATGATGATATGTCAGCTTGAAATTCCAGTTGTATATTATTTGTTGTACCGTTATGAAAAGTATTTAAAGTATCCACATGCTGAGAAGAGGTCTATAAATATTCTTTATTTGACCAAGTATGCCTTCACTATCCCTTTCCCTTGTATGCACTCAGTTTACTTAATTTTCATATTTTTATAATTTTTGTCCTGTTCAGATATCGTGTCGTTGCGTTGAATATTAGCCAAAATTAATGTATTTGCATCATGACTCACACATTACTCGGTATGTCATATTTTCTCATTGCATAAATGTTCTTTTGGTGTTTTATTCAAATGCGTAGTGTTAAGAAAACCTACATGTAAATTTTACTTGGTGCATGGTTCTTCTCTATTAACCATAGATTTATACATAACACTTTTGAATGGATAGTGTTAAATGATTTACCGTTGGCCCATCAGTATAATTTGAGTAAATGTTCACCTTATAACATGCCTTAGCCATGCTTCTGTGAAAATAACAATCATTCCATTCAGCAGTAGAGCCTTTCAATAAAAAAAGATAGCCATGCAAAATGTGTGCTTAGAAAATGTTACAAGGTTGCCTCGGTCGTGCATACCGCCCTCCTCAAGCCATGTATCATCATAGAGATAACATTTGTAAATCGTAGTGAAATTAAAACAATCTGCATTACAATGCACATATGCATTATGTAATTAAAATCCTTATAAGAGGATTTTTGATGAAAGGAAAAGAAGATTTCTTCTCACTTTTATCCTAAAAACACTCTAATATTTTTAAACCTCGCATCAGACAGCAAGAACGCTGAATTTGTTTATAAGAAAGACGTACATGGCTAGAAGGGAATTTTTCCTATAGGGCGCTTTTGATTGGCATTCAGCAGGAATCTGGGCGCACTTGAAAAGTGAAAATTCCATTGTTTCGTCACATGAAGTTTTGCCATTCTTTTGATGTATAAGGTTCCTGTGAAATTGGAAAGGGGAATATTTTCCCGATATTGTTTTTTTTTTATTTGCTAGAAATAACTTGAAAATAGGGTAGATGATTCATTTGGTTCAAAATGTCACATTTTCAAACACGTTTTTCTAAAATTTTGCTATCTCTGGGTCATCTCTCCATGATTTTCAAACGTTATTTGTATGCAATCTAATTCAAAGAAACAAACAATCATTTGTAAAAAGATGGAGAGAAGACCCAGAGACCATAAAAAATGAACTTTTTCCAAAAAAAATTCCAAATGTGTAAATGCGGTGTTTCATTGTCCTTTTTAAAATCCAGCTTTTTAGTTTTAGCGATGATAGCAAAATCAACTCTTTTTGTCAGTTTAATTTTTTTGTACCGATTTATTTTAAAATGGATAAATTCTGGTTCTACTGCATCGAGAGCGAAAGCAATTCTCCAACCTACTGATATTTTAATACATGTATACAGATGTATACTTGTAATTGCATTTAACTATACCCTTATTATATCTTAAAGGTGTTTATTATTTATGTGAAGCATTACTATGTTACAGTTGCATTATTAAGATAAGCAGATCTAAATATTACAATATGACATGTTATTTCAAACTGTAACATTTTCCTATGTGCGTAACTTTGTAAAACCTGTCCAGCTGTGGTCAGCCAACCAAATCGTGGAAATTTATACTATAAATGTTTCGTACATGTACACATGATTCCTGCAGATCACCCCTTCAAAACTTGCCACTATAGATACGCTTATATGAATCTCGCATTATACTTGATTCCAACACTATGTGTTACAATACTATTTTGTACAGTTCTTATATTTTTTGCACACACAACTTCAAATGTGCTAATATTACCAATCATACTCAGAAAAAATTATGTGAATTAGACTGAGAAGCTTTTTTCATAATGCGACATTCGTTTTTTTTTTTCTATTGGTAAATTACTTTACAAGTAACTAGAAAGGGGAAAGACGATACTACCGTGTATAAATGTGTCAATTTTTGGGACTTTATTAATAGAAAATCAAAGATATTTACTGTACGAGATCAAATTTTCTTATCAATCTTCCATTTTTTCAAGCAAATTTATTTGGGTAAGGTTCCAAAACGTTAACCTTTCTTATAACTTCTAAAGAAAAAAAGAAGACTATATTTTTATCTGTTGCACATTATTTTCCCAGAGTTCAAAGAAGATTACAATTATGGAAGCTATATATATACATTTTTTTTAAATTTATATAATTATGTCTCTCTTCAGGCGCGTAGCTGCCTATACGCAAATACGCGAGTGCGTACACATCATTCTCAGAAAAAAAAAAAAAAAAAAAAAAAAAGAGAATTATTCGGATAACAAATCTCAATACCTTCCAACAAATATTCGTGTTTCAAACTATTCTGTGTCACACTGTGTCGATTTAAATTTTATATTATCATGATTGTATGATAAAATTTGAAATCTTTTATTAAATAACTGCAAAATCCAAATAAATCAATCATTATTTTGTCATTGTTCTATCATACATTGATATTTTTTTTTAAAGATCTTTGAAAAATTAAATTTCAGCCACATCGTTCAATGCTTTGATCTACTAGTCTGATTTACAATACGATATTTTTTTTTGTTCATAATTAAAATTTTGTATACGTGTTTTTAAACGTTAAGAAAGACTATATAATACCAATTGATATATCGGTTAAATTTTTAGCCTCAATTATATGTGCAATAAGTTTCCATGGAATATAAATTTTCGTTAAAACAATAAATATTACTATGTCTTTTATTTCCTAAACAAAAACTAAATGGCATATTTTTTTATATTTCAAGAAAATGAATGAAATATTTGGAAAAACTCCGGAGCTTCAGCAGGCACGTAGTATCAGGGGAGCCTCCCCTCAACTTATTCCCAAAACCTAACCTTTTACTATTGAAAATGTACATTGAAAGGGTGGACCCCCACTGTTTGTTGTAAAAATTTGGTTTTTGAAAGTTGGAACCCCCCTCCCCCCTTAAACAAACACACAAGAAATAGGACTTCCAATTTTGACAATCTTCCTTTTTCGTCCTTGCTTGTCAAAATTTTTAAAGTTGTAATTTTTTCCTGGCTGGCAAAAACTTTATTACGTGCCTGACCAGAGCCCTTAAACACTAGGGGGGGGGGGGGGGTCAAGACCCCAACCCCCTGCCGTTCTCTGCGTACACATCATTTCAATTCTGGCTACGCGCCTGCTCTTTCTTACACCAGCTAAGAAAATGATCTTCATTTTTTTTAAATAATTAGAACTATGAAAACTTATTTTATTAAATGTAATAAAACAAATCAAAGAATGTACGCACACATATTCTTGGTAGAACATCATTATAGCGTCGTTAGGTTTTCCTTTAATGGGGATAAAATATCTTGTATTATTAATGTATAAAAGTAAAGTATAACCTTTTAATTTTGTCATTTGAATTTTAAAGCTTTTAGAAATGAACACTTCATATCATAAGGCTGCGTGATTTAACCCCTATGTATTTGTCTGACAAGAATTTTCCTACCAAAGCCATGATGTCGGGATATTTCTGTTTTATCATCGGGTTCGAGATACAATGTGGTGTTACGAGTCGGACAGAAACCTGCAGGCTGCAATGAAAACAGTATTTCGTTGACACATTTCTTAAATATTGTTTGCATTTCTTGGTAATGTATATATATATATATGCTGAATATCTTTTTATAGAAAACTTAACTTGCGATTATATTTAAAAGAGGTCTGGACTGTATTGGTAGTCGGTGGACGTGTAGTTAGAATAATCTGTGTCTCGGGACAAGCCCTCACCACAGTTAGAATACGTCCCATATACTTGCAATGTAGCAAATCGGAGTGGATCCACTCCGAAATGATTTTGAAGAATACAAAAGGAGTTGCACTGAAAATAACTACCAAATTAATCATAACAAACCTTTTTGAGATGGTATATGTCTTTTAAACTAAAAAATAATCCATATAAATACGAAAAATCAACTCATTTTCTCAACGTTTTTTCCTCGCTTCAAATTTAACGCCATGTTGACATTCGGAACTCTCTAGATTGATTATAGAAAATGCACAGAGTACGAGTTATCGCCCCTGTTTATTTTGCTACATTGCCAATACACGGAACGAATTCTATCGTTAAACCGGGTCCGTAGGACAATATCATTTTAACGATGGAACGTTTTATCTAGTGGACGTGGTACACACTACACAGTGGTGAATGGTCGCAGGCACCTGAAGCGTGGATAACTTACAACTCTTTAGTCTTAATACCCTCATCCTAAGTATTTTATTTGTTGTAATAAAACAATGTATAAATTTAACACATTTTTTAAAATATGAAGTTTGAAGGGATGCCGATAGGGAAACTATTAACAGGTTGGGCACACCCCACCAAATGGTCATTTATCCCCCGTTTGGTGGACAATCTCCCATATCGGAGACGAATTTTACTGACCAATTGGTGGACTTCTTTATTCTATTCCAAATTTTATTAAAATAAAGCAAAAGCGCATTTACTTAGGCATTGGGGAATTTTAGTGAACATATTCGTCATACAATTATCATAGTTCGGTCGATTTCCCATGTGCAATTTCTCCATAACTTCCTAAAAACGATATCCATAGTTGTCCTTAACAGCCGAACTTCTTGATCACTCGATCAAAAAAAAATTTATTATGTCTAGGAGGATAAAAATTCTATTTTATCCAGTGGTTGAACTCTTCATAAGTTAAGTTTCAATCGCTTTTTGGATCTTCGTCAATATTTATTTCCATAAAATCCCGTTAAACACAAGCTCCTTATTACTTTACTGGTACTGTGGGCACTTATTGCTATAAAGTTAAATTTTTAAATACTTGAACGTAATATCTGTTGTTATTTTTCTTTTAGGATGAAGTTGCATATTCCTTACGACCTTTTGTGGTTTAATATGTATATTACTGATGAATTTAATATACTTGATAAATAATTTTCAATAAAAGATTTACAAAGTGACTTTTGCAATTATTCTTGTATTCGTTCGAAGTACATGGTTTTAAAACAATAATTATATCATAATCTAAATTCATTTACTATTTTTATAGAGAACAAAGCTATTGCGTACAAAATAAAATGAAATAAAGGCGAAAACTTATTTTTCTTTTGATTTTCTAATTGAAAATTGACACTAATGTGCCTCCGTAGTAAAATCCGACTTTTGACCAGGTTAAAAAAAGATCATCGTTTTTATTGGTTTGCATTATTTGATTAGTTGCCCGGATAATCGAAAGAGAAAGTAAAGAACATGATTGACAGGTGCAGGATCGTTGAAGAAGGAGGAAATTTTCTTTTTAAGTAAAAACGGAGAAAAGTTGTACTTGTTTACATACGTGACATTTTTTGTCAAATTTCTGAACGACTCTACGCAAAAAATTACACGTTGAATTTTCAATTTTTTTCACTCAAAACACCGATAAATATTTATATTTTATTCCACATGGTTTAAAATTATGTGCCATTCCACGACATTCTATGTAATTAAACACAACCATTTTTCTCTCCCAATTGGTCAGTAAAATTCGTCTCCGATATGGGAGATTGTTCACCAAACGGGGGATAAATGACCATTTGGTGGGGTGTGCCCAACCTGATTAATATAGCCTGAATGCTGCCTGATCAAAATTCAAAACTGATTTCTAGATTTTAACATGTTTAGGAGTTAAACTTGATTTGGAATGACAACAAAATACCTTAAATGTTAGTAATATATGTATTACTAACAGCCATGCAAAGGTTTTTGTCTTAATCCACTTGCAGAATGCTAGTATTTTACACATACTGACATTGTTTTTTTTTTATTTTTTTGCCATTCAATTTCAGTGTACTGGCACATGTGAAAAGTGTTTACAAGACATTTTGGTTAATTTGTGCACTGAAAAGTTATCAAATTAAAGAAATGTGTAGGAGTAAGATAGATAGAACAAGCAATCGTTAAAAATGGTATTGTCCTACGGGCCCGGTTTAACAATAAAATGTGTTCCATGTGTTGTCAATGTAGAATGTATGTTCGTTCGCTCACCCTCGCATTCACCCTTGACACTGTTCGCCCAAAGTCGGTTTGGCATTTGCTCTAAAACTCGTTCGTCCAAAGTCTGTTCGCCCATAGTATGTTAGTCGATTAATATTTCATAAATTCCTCTTGTTATAAGTAATGTGATATATAACGGTAAATTAAATTGAGAATAAAATAAACCCTTTGCTCAGAGGCTACTCATCCCCAATGAAAATGGCCTATTATCACGATTAACACCACTCTCAATTTCCATAATTATTTGCAAAACATACATGATGCAGGTCCAGATCCAGGAATATTTTCCAGGGGGTTTTTTTCCAGTGGGGTCCACCCAGTCCAAAAAAATTTCCAACCCAAAAATTCCTTGACAAGCAAAAAAAAAAAAAAAGAAAAGAAAAAAGAAAAAAACACCTATTTTGTGGTGTCGATGGTGGGGTCCACATTTTTTAAGGGGGGGGGGGGGGGTGTCCAAAGTCATTTTTTATTTGCTTCAGTATATACTTTAATACCTCTGCAAATTATGGGGGGGGGGGGGGGGGGGTTAACATTAACTGCAATTAAGCCAAATAAGTTTTTGATAAACGTTTCATTAAGAAAATAAAAAAGAAAACAACTTATAATTCAAAGATAATGTTGGCGTAAAATATTTACATTAGGGTGATCAGGATATATTTCAAATAGGGTACAGGGCAAACAAGAATGAAGGCGAACAAACCCTGCGCAAACGGACTCATGCAAAAAAGTAGATAGGGCTAACGGACCTGATACCATCAATGTAGCAAAATAAACAGGGGCAGATAATTTTAATCTTCATGTTTACTATGAACAATCCAGAGAGTTCAGAATGTCAACATGGCATGTCAATTTGAGATAAAGGAACATATTGATTTTTTTTTTTTACATATGAATTATTTTTTTCAAGATAGAAGACATATACAAGCCCCAAAAGGTTTATGATTAATAACAGATTTATTTTCAGTGTCACCTCTTTTGTATTCTTTAAAACTGTTTTGAAGCAGATCCACTCCGATTTGGTACAGTGCAATTAAATGGGACATTCTTATTATAGATAGTTTTCATTAAGCCCAAATTAGCAAGAGTTCTTTCCCGTTGGCTGCCATATTGGTGGTCAACATGCTTATATTCCTTCATTATTCAACCAACTTTAACTTTTTATACTGGCCATTGTGGGGTAGGAGGCATTGTTTTCCTGAAAATAGATATGCATTTATTAAAGCCTCCTTTATTTCATAGTTTTTATTCTATTAAGATTTTTTTCCCAAATATTTCTGCTACACCCTCTTAAATTTGGTAAGACAAAGAGGAAAAATGACCAGGTTGACCACCAAGATGGTGGCCAAGAGAAATCACTCGGAGAGAAAATATGTCATATGAAAACTATCTATTGTAAGGGCTTTTGCTGTCCAGAGACCCTGTTAAATATTGTAACAAGGAGTAAAAAGCTTAAGTACACAGAGAATGAGTTCTCACACTATGAACTTTCATCAAACATATTTAATATACACAAAAGAAATACTCCTTGACACAAAACGCTTTAAAGCATTTACTCTTTTTCTATTTCTAGCTTTGGAGTTATCTTCCCTGGTGTGATATTGAGATTACAACCTAACTTAGTCCCGTTCCAAAGACTGATTGGATAGTTACCATGGATCCTTGACACCAGAACAGGAACACATAGAAATGCTTGATTTAATCTAAAGTTTGGCCTTCATCATGTTGATATTAACAGAAATAACTTATTTCATCAATACTCTAATGGGAGAGTCTGTAATCTAATTTGGTCAATCTAAGCAATAACAAATGGCTACTACTTCTATAACTGAAAAAGTCAAGGATGCAGCAACTGATTCAGAAGCAGTTCTTTCTACTCTGAATAACAGTCCATCAAAGATTCCAAGCACACTTGCAACAAAACTGTGTGATCCTTTAGAGAGCACAAACAGCCTAGGGGTTCATTCTACCCTTCCTACAGCTAGTAGGAGCATGAAAAGCCTTCTAACCAATAAGTTCACTCAGGCTTGTGTGAACGTGAACAGCCTCAGAATCCAGCAGGCCTCTCAAACCACTTTGAACACAGACAGCCTTGGAACGCATCAGTCATCCCAGCCTAGTGTGAACACAGACAGCCTTGGAACGCATCAGTCATCCCAGCCTAGTGTGAACACAGGAAAAACAGTAAATACCATGCCTATTCCCCGAAATACTGCAGTTACTGTCTCTAGCACAAATATTAAGAACCCTGCAACCCTCAGCAGTTCTAGCATTTTGATAAATCTGAACAATGGTGTTCAAAGTAATTTTACTCTTAATCAGATTGTAAATAACAAAACATTACCTGTGAACACTTCAAAAACAGTGGGACCTACAGATGTGGAGGTTACAGAGCAGAGCTTTCAAGTCACTATTCAACCTGTTCAGAAACTGGATCCACCACTAATCACAAATTTGGATCCACCAACAGAGTTGGAAAATATTCAAGTGAAAATAGAAGAAAGCTCTGTTGTTGAGGAACTCCAGTCTTCCACCCCTATGAGTGAAGAACATGAGCAACAAAGGGTAGAAAATAGTCTTGTTGAAGAAAGTGTAAGTATTTGTTAAATATGTAACCTATATCTTGTATATAGGTTTAATGTCTACAGACAAACCTTTTTTTTGAAGTCAACAGGGATAAAAAAGTTTATAACTTTATAAGGTTAAAATATGCATGGTGGGAACATTTATCGATGCTATTAGAGGTGCTTGGACAGGGTTTGAAGTTAATATTTTCTCAAAGGATGACTGCACTTAATGCCTATTTTTGGGTCTTTTTCGGTTGCTTCTGTTGCTTTTATATCTAAACCTCATTTCACTTTTGTATGTTTTTGAGAGAATCCTGTCAATTTGGAACCAAATTTAAATCTTAAAATGATTTTAGACTGTGATACAATAAAATTATTCAATGTTTTTTGTCCTTACTGCTTTCCAAATATAGTGAATTTACACTTATCTGCCCTTGATTGAACATTAGGTATGCATGAGAGGTGGAGCTAACATTGTAAGAATGGGTCTAAAATTAGACTTGATAAATAACAATGACATGTTTGGAAAAAAGAACGTGATCACTCTTTCCAATCTCCCTCTCCATTCTGTATGGCACAAATACACTTCTGATAAAGGTTTCAAAACGAAATTAACAATATGAGCACGTCAATGTAATTAAAGCAGACTTTATATCAATGCCAGATGACTTAACGTGTTTGAACACAATGTCCTAGTTAGCACAAACATGCTACCTTACAAGTCACATGACGGAATTTAGTATTCACAAAGTTACCCGAGGTAAGAAATCATGTGGTGAATTATTATATTCAGCATGTCACAATCCTTGGTTACAACACAGAGAGCGAATGTAAGAAGAAGCAGTTTTTTTCTCCTTTTAACCATGAGCGCATGTTTGTCTATTAATCTCCTTTTGACACATTATTATTTATGCAAATATACAACTACTGTTAAACGTAGAACAATAGACAAACATGCGCTGACTATGTATAAAGTCAGTAAAAAAGTGGGCGTCCTCATTATCGAACGGAGATTCATGGAATTGTGATGACCCTGCCTTTGAAAACAGATTCGAACTTCGTAAATACAAACTTTTATTAAACGTAATTACATAAAGTTGTAGATTGGATGTTGACCATTCTTGCAATGAAAAGAAAAATGCTTGTTTTAAAAGTTTATTTTGTCGCAAATTTCACATGTCCTTAAGTGCAGTCATCCTTTTCAGTATTATATCATGACTTATATGTTGCTAAAGCATTTCACATGGAAATATAAACATGATAAAAAAAAAAAAAAACTTGTTTTTTCAGTTTTATATGGAAATTACTGAAACTACAGACCCTGAAACGTGCTACTACTCCACCTGCACGCTGCATGAACGGTACACGCTCGCTACACGGTTTGCATGAAACGCTACATGGTTTACACGAAACTCTTTGCACGAAAGGCTGCACGGTTTACACGAAAGGCTGCACGAAACGCTTTGTACACGTTTCTCACATGCTTTGTACACGATTCTCGCATGCTTTGGCCTCGATCTGGATTTTCTATTCGGAATCTCTCAGACTTTATTTAAATTATTACGCATTAACCAAAAATTATTTAAGAATTGCAATCATTCAAATGAAGTTAAGATTAAAAACTCGCAATATCAGTACTATATTAACAGATAAAATACTCAATGTTCAGGTTTAATTAATTAATAACTGTCATTGAGTATGTGACCCACCCGGTGAAATGCTTAAATCATCGTCTGTCTACAAACCTTTTTCACTAGACTCTAAATTAAGCACTGAAAAAAATTATTATATTCGTAATTCATAATCTTTTACAACATTTAATGTTTTTTTTTACAATTATAGTTTGATATTAAAAAGTCGTTTTAATACTGACAAATAAACTTAAGTTATTGATTTAAAAAAATTGAATAAATTGCGTATGATTTCTGTAAACGGATTGATTTTCTTTTCCTCTTTTTTTCAGTATTGATTGATTTAAACGTTTTTTGATTTAGTAAAAAAAAATAATTTCATTTGTTTAAATTAGGTTCTGTTTATAATTTGCAAAGGTAATACATAAACTGCATCAAACAGAAACATTGTGCAGGAATGGGGGTGGTAGATTACCGAGATCTTACTGTTGTATCTCCAAATCTGTACATGGCTAAATATAACGGGCACTTGTTTCAGTAAGTATACCATTGGGAAAAAAATATTATAGAAACAAGTGTCTGTTCTAAGAAAAAAAAAAGGACATCCATATTTCCAGCGGGACCCGATACCTGTAACTCTTTAAATACACTTAATTCAGATTGGTAAATATATCGTTTCATTACAGAGTTCGTCTTTATCATTAAAATTTTACATGGTAGAGAAGCCGGGGGATATAGGTATTGTAGTTCTTTAGTTCTCTTTTGAGGCATTGTGTTTATCAAATGAAAACAATATACCCACCACCTTTTAAAATACTTGATTTCAAACCCCGTCTAGACAAAAAAATTAATACTTATGTAATCAATAGTCGCGGCTCTTAACAATACATTCAATATACATGTATACATGTCCAATGTCCTAAAGACTATAAAAAAATATGCTCTAGAACTGCATGATTAATAAAACAACTAATATATAATTTTTTAGGATTTCTTTCTTTATATTATTTTATTCATGAAGACACTCAGTCTGGCAAATTAAGTCACTGTTTACAGACAATTGGATAAATTTAAGAAATAAAATCCATGTGTATTTATTTGTACCCATGAAATACAAATAAAGCCGTTTAATTTTCATGAATAAAAAATCAATCCTTATTGTCGGGTGTCATCTTAGCTATGATTGACAAGAGATAATCATGATAATAGCAGAACAAGTTGTCAGGCCCGGCACGCGGTGTCCATGATCGCTGTTGTAAATGACCTTGATCACAGTCGTAAGTGTAAAGAAGATTCCAATATATTTTTTAAGGGGTGCATCAGGAGCACCCCGAAAAAAAGCAATCATTTTCTTTAAAGGGAAAATTATCAATAAAACACTTGTTTACAACAAAAACTTAGTTTGTGTTTTTATTTGATCCCCCCCCCCCCCGGAAATATTTAACCCTGTATTTGCCGATGCATGTGAATTATAATTCATTTATATGACTATTATTAATCAACCTATTTTATGCATTAAAAGACTATAAATAACTCATCGTTTCAAAATTGTTTGTATTACAATCGTGTAATATAAGAAAATTATGTTCGTTTATAAAGAAAATCAATTAACTGTGCTCCCTAACATAGAATCCCAATACTTCACATTTATAGCAACACACTAAATTTTGCATTTTATTTTTCACGCATTTTCTTTCAAAAAATGTTCAGTATTGCATACTCCCTTTAAAAAACGTATTGAATCAAATACCTTAAAATTGACGTGCAAATAATTTATTACTTTTAACACATTTTCAGTACATCTTTATTTAGATAAAAAAAGAAAGAAAATCTAACAAATATGTAATTATACATTACCGAGTAATTTTATTTTGTTGTTTATGTATTTTTTTTCACTCTTAAAATACCACTGGTATGATATATCTGAATAGTATTAGTTACAAACAACATAGAATGACATGTTGATCTATCAATAGCCATATTTAGAATAAAAGGACTTCCGAATGAATCCTACATGTTTCTTACACGATTCTTGCACGAAAGTCACACATATCTCACACGATTCTTACATGAAAGTCACATGTTTCTCACACGCTTCTCGCACGCTCGCTACACGGTTTGGAGCTTACACGAAACGCTACACGGTTTGCATGAAACGCTGCACGGTTTACACGAAACACTACACGGTTTGCATGAAACGAAAATGCACGAAAGTCACACGCTTTTTTTGGGTAGTAGCACGTTTCAGGGTCTGTGTGAATTTCGGGTGCGTTTGATTGATACATCCTTGCACTTTCTCAAAGCAAACTTTATTCTTAATACTTATGAAAAGTAGAAATTTTGTTGTGTATTAATGAAATATAATTAAAATATAATCCAGAAAATTCAGAGTAGAATTGTGAGAAAGCAAAACCAACTCACCAGTATTGTCAGTCTATGCTCAGTGATGTGTGCAGAGTTTAACATATTGAACACACCCGGTGAAACGTAAACATTAACAATAACAGAGTTTGTGCTTTGTTTACATTTCATGGTTATGGTTGAATATTTTTCATTAAAACACAACAAAATTTCTACTTTTCGGATAAGTTTACTTTGTGAAAGTGCACAGATGTGTCAATCAAATGCATCCCCAAATTTGTAGTTTCAATAATTTCTAGAGAAAAAGTTTTTTTTATTATATATTTCCATGTGAAATGCTATATAAACATATAAGTCATGATATTATACCAAAAATTTGACCAGGACTTTTTTCCTTGGCTGCACCTCGGGAAATGGTCCTGGCCTTTGGGAACTGGAATCTTGCTAACTCCCTCAATAATATACTTTAACTGTATAATATACATGTACACAGTAATTAGCAAATTATTTAAGAAATAAAGTATAATTATTTAATGTCCATTGGGATATAAATATGGTTTGGTCACTTGATCAAATTCCAAAAGGACTTTATGGTAAATTTGATCAAGTACCAACTTGTATTTATATTCCGATAAATATTTTGAAATCATACCTTATTTCTTATATTTACATTTGTGACTTATATATAATTATTATAATATTTAATGCTTGAAATGATTTATTTTCAAAACTCAACGGCTCACAAGTTTTATCAATTGAATGCATCTCAATCTAGTTAGAATAATCTGTGTCTCGGGACAAGCCCTCACCACAGTTAGAATGCCTCCCATATACTAGCAAAAAATTGCAGAATTGCTCCGAAATTATTTTGAAGAATCAAAAGGATTTGCACTGAAAATAACTACCAAATTAAGGACATTGGCAAGTCAGGGTTTTCCGGAGAAAAAAGGTTTAATACATGGTTTTTTTTTCACTTATAACATGTAGAATTCTCTAAGCGGTGAAAACCAAGAAAGCGTATGTTACAGAGGTAAACAAAAGCATGTGTACTTCCTTCAACGTTTAGAATAATCTATAAGAAAGAAAAGTAGTAATGGCTTTGTTGTACATTGTATTCAGGGACAAAGAGCCAACAGGTCATCATTTACCATAGTTATGCTCAGTATGCTGGGAAGCTGGGCAAAGATGTGACATAGAGATGCTAAAAGGTAGATCGACCATGCTGACTGAGAACAGTTCTTAGGTTGTGTGAAGGAATCAGCATTTAGTAACTACGAATAAAAGTTAAAAATAAATCCATGCCAATATTTTTATGACAATGTGTTTCAATCAATTCAGTCAATTACATGATAAAAACAATCAACCAGTTTCTTGACCAATTTTAGCTGTTAAGGGACGCAACTCAAAAATGATGATCGATGCCGGTATATCCATGTCTTGTTTCTATATATACATTTTCAGCCAAAATATCTAGAAGTCATAGGAAATGAAGATACAATAATGTATATAATACAAAAACTGTATGAAATAAATGGGTTTTCAGGGTTCGACACTAACTTTTTAAGGCTTTAGTCCTGCCGGACTAGTGCTTCATTACTTTTACTAGTCCGCACGCGATTTTATTAGTCCGTCAAAAAAAAAAGAAACATCAATGTTTTTTAACATTAATTTAACATGACAATTAATATACATATTATTTTTTGAAATAAACAAAGTATTTATGTGAAATATATTATTCCACAGATTCATGAAATCTTGCAATCAGCAAGTACGATCGTATTCCCGATCTCGTTTTTTTTTTTATCTTTACATTACATCCAAAACGTCCAACATCTTTCTTAAAAGAGTCATACTAAATCATGATCGCTAAAACCTTATACTTCATATTGATCAGTCGAAAAATTAAGCGCTGAATTGACCCGGTATTGCGTAACTCCCGCCAAAAGCTAGAAATCTAAAAATACACGCGGGATTTCTTAGTAAAAGTCGAGAATCGGACATCGGTAATTTATTCATATTCTTTTTCAAAATTTTTTATTGGTCCGTTCGGACTAATTAGCCACATATTTTATTAGTCCGAATGAAAATGTATTAGTCTGAGACTAACGGACTAACGTTAGTGTCAAACCCTGGTTTTGAAGAAATATTAAGGTGAAAATTTATGTAGATCCCTTTTATCAAAATGCATTAAGAAATGTAAAAACACTAATTTGACAAAATCTAAAAAAGAATGTTGGATTGGTAGGTAAAACGATCCAGAATATAGCCTGTTTAGTGCATTAAACCTACTCAAAAGTTCTTGAAAAATTCTATTACAATAACCAGGAACCTTGCCAATGTCCTTAACTATAACAAACCATTTTTGAGGTTGTGTATGCCTTTTATATGTTTTAACCTTAAATATAATCCACATAAATATGAAAGTTCAACTCATTTTCTCAATGTTTTTTTTCTTGCTTCAAATTTACATGCCATGTTGACATTCGGAACTCTCTGGATTGTTCAAAGAGTATGCACTGAGTTAGAGTTATCTCCCATTTTTCTTTTCTACATTGCCAATACACAGAACGCATTCTATTGTTAAACCGGGTCCATAGGACATTTATCATTTTAACATCAGAACATTCTATCTAATCTCAATTCTTTAGGCTACAGCTGCAACAGACCTAATTCAACAAAAATAAATAACCATTATTCCTTTGCCAAACATTCAGCACTTTATGTTCATAATGTTTAAAATGTAAGTTGTGTCCTTCAAATAGGACCTTAAAAACCCAGTATAGATTCTAAATTGTTTAAATTATGGCTCCCAGGGGAAATGTGGGGCCACAATAGGGAATCAAAAGTTTAACATTTTAATATATAAGGAAAATCTTTAAATTTAAAATCTTCTTGTCAAGAATAGGGGTGCAACAATACATCAACCTCACGATACGATACTTATTCATGGTATTCAGTTCACGATACAAAAGGTATCACGATACATGACAAGGTTAAGAAGTCTTTCAAGTTTGTCATCATATTTTTTTTTTACACTTGACAGGGTTATATCAAATGTTCATATTTTGTGATAATAATTAAAATATCATTTTGTTAACTTGAATTGGATTGATACATGTAGGTAGATCTTTGAGTTGTGACAATATTCTAAACCAATGATAAACATTTGCAGGGAACTACTGGGACCTTTCCTAATAATCTTCCTTTTAAATTGGAATGAAAAAGAAAGACATTCATTCTTTTATTCCTTTTATTTACCTAGAAAACCAGTTGTAAAATTTCTCGTGTTAACATATTTTAGTCAACAAGACAGCGAATTTTCATCGAAATACACGCGTGATGAGATATCGTGTATTACCAAGAATACATTTAGATCTAAAGGGTTAATCATTTGTCTTAACATCTATAACTTTTAATCATGAGGTCTGTAAGATGCTGGAGATGAGTTTAACTGCCATTAATGTGTTCGTTAACCTCACGTTTTGTGTGGAAGCCATTTTGAAATTGTAAACAAGGAAATAAAACAGATGACTCGGATAATTCTGGACCAATTAAACCAAATCGCGATATCAGTTTAGTGTATCGTGAATTGATCCGTGGAAAAATATACTGCGATATACCGTCAAACAGTTTATCAATGCACTGTTAATGAGTCAAGAACCACTGGGACAGAAAAGCTGAATCTTCAGGGGCTGATAAATCCCATTGCCTGAGGCCCGAGACTAGTGAATTTTAGGGATGGGCAAGTGAATTTTTATTAACCACTTGCCTGAGGGCAAGTGACTTTTTCAAGACATAAAATAATAAGTCTTAGTTTTAAGTGGAGATGGGCACTTGTAATAATCATTTTTTTGTCTTCCTACTTTTCATAGTTTATGGTGAGGCAAGTAAAAATTCAGGTAGGGCAATTGAATTTTGACCATGTACTCGCCCATGGGCAAGTACTTGAAAAATCTATTTGTCAGCCCCTGATCTTATGTGAAATCATCCTGGAGTGGTGTAGATTCTGAATTGTTCATATCATGGCCCCCAGGGGTAGGGTGGGACCAAAACAAGGAATCAAATTTTAACAATGAAATATATAGTAAAAATCTTTAAAAATCTTCTTCTTAAGAACCACAGACTGGGCCAGAAAAGATGAAACTTACTGTAAACCAACTTTTTTTCGATTGTGAGAAATATTTGTGAGTTTCGCGACCTGCTTTAACTCTCGAATATTAATTGCTGTGAATTAATTTATGCTTTGTATTTGTAGAGAATATTTCCTAAGTCTCAAAAATTAAACACCGCGGATTGATTTCAAACTGACGAATCACGAATAAAAGATGACGCAAATAATAGTTGGTTTACACTATGTGGAAGCTTCCTTGGGTAGTGTAGATTCTAAATTGTTCAAATCATGACCCCCGAGGGTAGGGTGCAGCCAAACATGGAATCAAAGTTTAATGTTGCAATATATATATAGGAAAAATCTTCTTCCCAAGAACCACTGGGCCAGAAATGATGAAACTTATGTGGAAATATCCTGGGGTAGTATAAATTCTAAATTGTTGAAATCATGGCCCCCTAGGGTAGGGTGGGGCCAAAAGGGGGGATCTAGTGAAGAGCGGTAAGGCCATGGCCAAAGTTAGTCAGGTGAGCGTTGTGGCCCATTGGCCACTTGTTGACTTTCATAACATTCAGATTACCTCAGTTCTACATGTTCAAATGTAACCCAGTAAATTTTCTATATTTTGTTTGCTGGGAATTTGAATGTTGAGAAAAATGAAAGCTTGTAGAATTTATAGCAATTGGAAGTGAATTTAATTGGACTTGTCAATGACTCTAAAACTCATACATTGTTTGTGTTTCATAATTGGTTTAAGATAAGATATTTCTTTCTTTTAGGAAGAAAATGCAGACAATTGTAACAAAGATAAAATGAGTGAGACCGACTTCAAGTTTTTCAAATGTGGAATTTGTGATGTGGCTTTTATTAATTCAGTAAATCTAGAGAAACACGTTCACCAGCACAAGATATTCCAAAGTGAAACCATTAAATGTGGGTATTGTGAAGAGATTTTCTATTCTAAAAGAAATGCACTGCATCATCTGAATCACACTCATGGTATTATTTGTAAGAAACCAAAGGCTGGAATGGAAGAAGTTAATTTACCAACATATGAGAGTGATGGAAAATCTCCGAAAACTATTCGAGTCATTCGAACAAAAATTCCAAAATGTGAGGTTTGTAAGAAAATATTTCCAAATCTGGAAAGGTTTGCAGAGCACAAACAGAAAAGCATTTGCGCTTATGTGTGGTATTGTTGTCTTTCTTGTCGGAAAAAAGTTGGCAAAGAAACTTGTAAGGAAGTTCCACTCCCAAAAGAATTAATATGCAAACTATGTCATCAGTCAGGGAACCAGTCAAAAGAGAACACAGATACTGTGATGGAGCAAGAGAAACAAGGAGATGAAATGATTTTAGGTGTAGTGCAACCAAGTATTGTAGAATTTGGTTCTAAGAAGAAGGATGAAAACAAACAAGGAAATGAAATGATTTTAAGTGTAGTGCAACCATGTATTGTAAAATTTGGTTGTAAGAAGAAGGATAAAAGCAGACAAGAAGATGAAATGATTTTAGATGAAGTGCAACCAAGTATTGTAGAATTTGGTTGTAAGAAGAAGGATGAAAATAAACAAGGCGATGAAATGATTTTAGATAAAGCACAACCAAGTATTGTAGAGTTTGGTTGTAAGAAGAAGGATGAAAATAAACAAAAAGATGAAAAATTAACTGACAAAAAATGTAAGAAGAAGGTGAAAAAGTTCTACAATTGTTTGGATTGTGGGAAATCTTATGCAGAAAAAGATACATATGAGATGCACCTGAAAATGTTGCACAGTACCATAAAACAACATAAATGTGATTTGTGTGAACAGGCTTATGTGCATCCCTCTTCCCTTAGATTACACAAACGTTTACACTCAAAAATGGAAACATTTGCATGTGATAAGTGTCCAAAAACATTTAAATTAAAAGGGTTTCTCAAAAAACATCAGAATGTACATGAGCCTGCAAGGTTTCAATGTGATGTATGCGGTAGGAAATTGAAGTCTAAACCTAAACTCATAGAACATAAGAGATTACACAGTGGTGAAAAGCCCTTTCTCTGTGAGATCTGTGGAAAGGGATTTCATAGTCGGATGGCCAGAATTTTTCATGTGGATACCCACAATCCCTCGAGCAAGAGACTATGTGAGATTTGTGGGAAACTCTACACATGCACTTCTTCTTTGCGACTTCATCAGAAATTGCACAGAATCCATAATGGTTCGGACTTGAAAGAAAGATTCTGCATTTTACCATGGGTTTGTGAAATTTGTGGCAAAAGATTTAGTAAGAGGCTGCGATATGAAAATCACAAATTAAATGTGCATGAGCGTAAAAACAAAAAAAACAAAAAGAGAAGTCATTTAGAAGATAACCAGAAGAAGAAGAAGACAAATTCTGATTGTCGATCCATATGTGACATTTGTGGGAAATCTTTCTGCAGTAAATCGGCTCTTAGGTCTCATGTTGCAGTTGTCCATCGAGAAAACCCTGATGATCGAATCATATGTGACATTTGTGGAAAAACTTTCTCCAGTAAATCAACTCTTTCTTCTCATTCTGCCCTCCATAAAGGACAAATGCAGATTTCCTGTGAGAAGTGCAATATGGTAATGCATAAACATTCTTTGAAAAGACACATGTTAAGAATGCACAAAACAAATGTATAACTATCTTCATGAACATTGAACAGTGTCAAAAAGATATTAAGTATAAATATAACAAATGAATCACAGAAGTATATTAACAGGTTTAAATGAAGTTATTTAATCTCATTAGTAAAATATCTATTTTTAGAATGTCAGTTCATGCTGTTTACCACAATAATAAAATACAGTACACTGTCTTGCAATATTCCTATGTGTAGAGAAATGTGTAGACAAATAATTGAAACCAAAAGGAAAGTAATGTTTCTGGCAAAACAGTGGTATCATAGATATTTTAATGCACCCATACTACTCTTATGTTATAAAAAAAAAAATAAGAGGCCCCAAGGGCCTAGAATCACTTCTGTGTTAAATTGTACATCAACCTAATCATTTCTACTCTAAGCCTCTTAATTAGTATAAAAAAAATCAGATAAAGTTTTGAAACTTGTAAAGTAGGTCATGGTCAACATGACTAATCAAGTCACAAAGATTGACGATTACAGATCTTCTTATTACATATGTATCCGAAATATTTTGATATAATCCTATTCCAAAAGAATGATTGTGACCTACTTTTTGGATTACACAATCTGAGGACCCAAACCAACTAACAAAGTTTGATGATTTTAATCTACTTACGAATCCTAAATGTTCAGTTGGTTTGATATTCCAAAATTAGGACACAGTAACCAACCTTTTGGTTGATACACCCCAATGATCAAAGATGAATCAACTTACAAAATATGATGGTTTTAAGCATCTTATTATCCAGAATATTGAGATATAGGTGTAAAATTCCAAAAATAGGTCGAAGTGACCTACTTTTCATTGTTTTGATTGAAACACTCTGAGGATCCAAAGTGCATAAACTGACAAACTTTAATGATTTTAAGCCTCTTGATAACTGAAATAGATATATTTTGTTAAAATATCAAAATAAGGTGACCTTAACTAACTTTTTAGTCTACATTAGTACCCAAGATGCATTAGGCATTGCTTGAAATTCCAAACTAAGGTTATTGACTTTTGTTTTCATATACTAAGGATTCAAGATGCCAAAGTTGACAAAATTAGAAATTTATGATACCAAGCATCATAGTTTCCTTAATATTGAGGAAAAAACCTATGAAATTTCAAAAGTACATAATTATGTAGGTAACTGTGACCTACTTTCTAATTGATAGAGTATGCTGACCTAGGATACACCAACTTTCAACTTTGATGAATTTAAGCCTCTTACTATCTGAATTAAGATATAACCATGAAATTTCAGAAATAAGTCATCACGACATACTTTTTTCGCTGATGAACGTTGAGATCCGAGGATTTTTCAACTGACAAAGTTTTTGATGATTCCTAGTCTCTTAGTATTAATTTGGGAAATTAGGGCTACTTATTTGGTTTTCACACTCTGGGGATTCAAAATTCCAAAATTGACAAAATTTGAAATTGAAGATTCCAAGCATCGTAGTTTTCTTAAAATTGAGAAAAACCTATGAAATTACAAGCCAGTTTCTAAGCTAGGTAGTATCAGAGAGATTAAAAAATATAACCAAGAAATTCCAAAAAAAAAAGAGGTCACTGTGACCTCTTTTGGGTAGGTGTACTCTTGAGACCTAAGGATGCGCCTATTGACAAAGCTGGATAATCTTATGCTTCAAAGTGTCCAAATATGCATCTAGTACATGTCCAATTTGAAATGGAATCCCAGTAAACCAGTAAAATCCAACAATAGGCCTGTCGGCCACAACACTTACCTGAGTCACATTGGCCTTGCTGTTTTTCATTACCTTTTTCTCAAAATATATGTATTCCTGTGTAATTTTGATCTTTTTTGTAGCCCAACCTTATATTCAGTGATTTGAAATCGTTTACACTACCAGATGATGTTTCTACTTTAATTTGATTCATCATAGCTTTGCTGTTCTTTAGTAGAAGAGTTTTAATGATTTTCTTCCCTACGTAATCCCCATTTTGGTCCCACCCTACCTTGGGGACGATGATCTGCACAAATTACAGTATACACTGCCTCCAGACGCTTCAACAAAAGTTTCAGCTTTTCTGGTCAAGTAGTTCTTGGGAAGATCACAGATGTGTACAATTTGTAGTGTTCGTATAGTTCGACTATTTCTTCATTATTGTCACTTATTTCATATTCAAGCTGCCATCTTAAAATAATTTACTATAAACCGTATTTTCCTAACATATCTTTCACTACTTCCATAATTATTCAAGAGTTCATGTTACAAATCGTTATGTACAAATCAAGAACGATACGTACTGAACCGATTTGCCTTGCCATCCAATACATGCATGGCAATATACATGAAAATAGGCGAAATTTCGATGATATCAATTTCTATTTTACGACAGCGTTGGGGATCAATGCGATGATGAAAGACTGGCACAATGACTATAGCGCGATAATGTGAGAACGCTGTTGCGACGATAACGCGATGGTGCGACATTATCGCGATATGCATGCTATTGCTCCATCTTGCTCTCGCGCCATTCCTTTTCGTTTGACTATATGGGTAAATCAATGTAGATGTTTGATAAGTGCATTATTTACACTTATCTTTAAAACGTTTCAAGTTTTTGCCACTTTGCTATCCTAAAGAAACGAAATGTTTATCATTTATCACTGAAAAGTGCACTTCAAAGTTCGCCTATTTCAAAGATGCCGTATATTTGTATTGCATTACCTTAAAACACATTTAAATCGTACTTGGTCTAAATGTTTTCTCAAACGAATGTTTTATTTAACAGCAACTGTGTAGGAGAATTTTACTTTTAAACGTTACATGTATTACACTGCCATGAATGATGAAATAAACTAGCTACTCACACTCATGCACTTACTCTATTTTTCAATACATGTATATATATTTATATATATTTTCAAAACTGCAAAAACTGCTGTTTCCAGATGCTACTGAATTCAAGAAAAAGCAGGAAAAAACAACTTAGAATATTATATTTCTTCTGCATTTGTGTCATGTTTACATTGTCAATATTTTTGTAATGGTCACTTCGAATATGACTGGAAGCATGATTTCTCAACAGAGGTTGCGGGGAGGGGGGAGGGGGTAAATAAGGAATACACGAAATAGATTTGTAAAATGCTTCTTTTATCAGACTACCTCAAAAGTTGGGATTCCTGAAAATGGCTAATTATCATTAGCAGAAATAATTGAAGACAATTAGCCAGCCACTCTCGTGCTAGTCTTGCAAATATTTGAATTTCTAGATGAAGAGGTTTTTTAAAAAAATAAAGCAAATAAGAATTAGCAATATAATATATAAAAAATATACATGTATGAATTGGAGAACATAAAATATAACAATCTGATATCCATAGTAAATTGACTTTGATTTATTATAGCTTTTGATTTACTATGGTAAAAAAAAATTCATACTATAAAAAGCTATAGTTAACTATACATGTAATATTTTTTGTTAGGGAAGAATTGAATTCAAACGAAAGCACAGGATAAAGTTAATCCTTTCATAAACAAACCAGTATAATTCATACACTAGAGTGTTCCAAGGAGCGCATGTTTCGTCTGCTTTATAGCATCATAAAAGAGAACGATAAATCTTAAGGGTGGTCGGTTAATCTGCTACTAGGATTATCATTATTATGATAATCAACAATTTATAGTAAGACCGATAGGATAGCAAGAAAATCTGACATTCAAAAAGAAATATGATTCCCCAACCCTCCAATCTAGAGTGAATAATGAAATTGAAATTACATAAGATACATGTATTTAAAATAATTATTTTACATCTTAAAGGTGCTTGGACACAGATTTGAAGTTAATATTTTCTAAAATTTTCTGTATAATTTCATGACTTATATGTTGCTATAGCATTTCATACAAAAGTACAATAAAAATCTTATTTCATCTCGAAGTTATTAAAACTTCGAATTTCTGGACGCGTTGGATTGACACATCCTTTCACATATTTTAATTTTATTCGTAAAATACTGAAGAAAAGTGGCAGTTTTGTTGTGTATTAATGAAAACTATTAAAACTATAACCCAGTAAATTCAGAGCGAAAGCAAAACCCACTCACAGTATTGTAAGTCCGTGCTCAATGGTGTGTGCAGAGTTTAACAATTGAACACACCCGGTGAATCGTAAACATTAACAATAACAGAGCTCGTGCCCTGTTTACAGTTTACGTTTCACGGGTGTGTTCAATTTGTTAAACTCTATACACATCACAGAGCACGTACTGACAATACTGGTGATTTGGTTTTTGCTTTCGAACATTAAAATTTCTACTCTGAATTTTCTGGATTTTAGATGTAATACTTTTCATTATTACATAACAAAATCGCTTCTTTTTCTTAAATATTAAGGATAATGTTAAAATTTGTTTAAGTGCAAAGATGTGTTAATCAAACGGGTCCCGAAATTCGTAGTTCCAATAATTTCCAGATAAAATAAGTTTTTAATTATATTTTCGTGTGAAATGCTATTGCAATATATAAGTCGTGATATTATACAGAAAATTTGAGAAAATATTAAGTTCAAATCTGTGTCTAAGCACCCAGGCGCGGATCCAGGATTTTTTTCCCAAGGGGGTCCACCCCAGTCAAAATATTTCCAACCTAGAAATGAATCCGCATGAATCCAAATTTCTCCCAAAAAGAGATTGCAGTTTTTCTTTCCTGCAATACTATCAGCCTACAACGATCCTTTTGGTATACCGACCCGAATGTATTTTCATGATATTTAAATTTCAGTTTCTGTGATTACTGTATAATATACGTTTTCAAATTACAGTGTCATGAGCTTATAAAAATGTGATATACATGTAAATGCCTATATCAAAAGCCTGCCTCACAAACCAAAAGAGAGATTTCAAAGCAACCTTCCAGAGCATTTTTTGCAAAGTAGGTCAAACGTCAAGGACAAGTGGATTGAAAAATGTAATTTTTATAGTGTTTATGTCAAACAGTGCAATTAAGTGTTAAAAAGCATAAATTTACCTCTGAAGTACCAAAATATCCTGTACATTGGCGTTATGAACTACATGTTTATTTTGTAAAGGATGTTAAGGACGTACAACACACCCACCACGAAAAATTTCCTGTCGTTTAATTTTCGCTATTTTTGTATATGTTACACATGACTATATATACAATGCGTATGCACATTTTGGACAAAATCGTTCGAGTCG